TCGGAGAATTTTTTGGAATCCGAGGATACGCGTCTCGAATTTCAACTCGGCTCTGTTCCATAGATATTCCAGAAAAAAGAATTTGGCAAGTACCCAAATCCCTCTAATAGAAAAAAACCCAAGAAAGAAAGTGGAAAATGTGGAGAAAACATAGGCGAAATTAGTTTTCAATTAATATCTCGGCTTCTAAGTCCCAAGAAGACGCGAATGGTCAAAATGCCATGCCACGGACCTGCGGAATCCAACGGTGTGCTTCGCTAAGCCCGGGAGCCAGCCGTTTCGAAGGAGATGATGTTACTTCATCCCCACATATATATGCGGCTTAAGTGTTGTTTGTCGCGATAGTTTATGGGTTGCTTGCGTACTGTACTAGCCAATGGGGTGAAGTTGCCACGGCACCGGGTTGCCGTTCAGATGAGACGTGACAATTAATTTCCTGTAAAATTGCCTTGATGACCGTCCATAATCTCGGGGCCCAAACGCTTAAGCATGTTGGCATTTTTTTACGTGAGCCTGCATTTGGACACGGTCAACTTTATGCTGCCTGTTTAAGAGTTCGTGAAAGAACGGACGTAAAATTAAAAATAATGGATGGTCCTCTGCGAGCTTAAAAATGATGGAAAGATCTACCTAAGAAATGTTGTGTACAAAGAGATCTTTGACATGTGAATTAAGATTTTATTTTTCAAATCACCCTTATTTCTTGAGCTAGCGATGGCTCTTAAGAAATGTACCGCCAGTGGTTTCCTTGGTTGCACTCTACTTTAAGCAATTAAGCAAGTAGAAGAGGGAACCCCCGTTAGGTAGTAAGCAAAGGGGCGTCCTCGCCGCCTACCCTGTGTAATTCAGTTTGAATTAGCGGACACCTTTGCACAAATCATTTTAATTACATTTATAATATCTAGAACAGTGGTCATTTCGTATGACCGCCGGGCTTTCTAGTAAGTAACAATCAGAGATATTAGCATATTACGCTCACAGTGCAGTAGCAATAATAGTGTAAATAATAGTGCAATAATAGTATAAACTGTTTATTTAATAATAAATAGTGACTATTATTGCTAACTATCTGCCTCCTTAGGCAGATAGTCCTTGAGGCTTTGCCGTAATTAAATAAACCAACCAACCATTTATTTGTCAAGCGTTAGATTTTATTCATACGCGATAGGTTGCAGAGGGTCGGCTGCGCTGCCACACTTGCTGTGGTATTTTTTGCAAGAGACAGCCCACATGGCGCATTCTGGCAACCTAGCTAGACGCAACCCGCTAGCTGAGTGACTCAGGCCGGGTTACGATCATTTCACGCACGTCAGTAGAGCTCTTATCACGCATTCGTCAGTGTTTGTACTCTCATTCTTTTGTATTTGTATTTCTTATAATTTCAGAAACTCAGAATAACATTTAAGAGAAAGAGTGAATGATAAAGCAGCAAAATGAGGCAATGTTTTAACATTATCTCACAGAATTGAAATTTCGGGTGAGTTAGAAAATGACACACTTGTTGCAAGTTTGCAAGAGAACTGGTTGCAAACGAATCAAGCATCAGAATAATAGAAAATCACTGCCTTTTAAAATATTAATTAGATCATATACACCTCGCACACATAAAAAAAAAAAAAAAAAAAAAAAAAAAAATCTGATATGTACACCACATGACTTCCTTGTACGGAATATTAAATTATACGCATTTTTTCTTGCATTTCATTTAAACTTATTAGATTCAATTATACCTACGTCGCCGACAGCGCATAACCACAATAGATAATGCATTCTTTAAAATTCACTTTGTTTACCATAGCGACACTCTGGCGCTAGGTTTACTTAACAGTATTATATTTCGTTCATATTATAAATCAGAATGCACAAAAGTATATCATTTAAAGAATTATCTAATCTTTGCCACAGTTCTATTCAAATACTATAATAAAGCTAGAATGATGTATAAAAAGAAATTAAGCAAACAAAACAAAAAAGAAACAGTTTTTCACAGACGATGAGTATTTCTCATTCAATTAATTAAGTTTCACTTCGCGAAAAGGCAAAATACATAAAAACTCAAAATATCTATATTAAAAAATTACGAAGTAAAATCTAAACGTTATTTCCTCGAAAAAATTCCAGAAAGGATTAGCATGATTTTAAATAATAATGAAGGCGTTATCTTTGTTGTTGCGAAGGTAAGTTTCTCTAGATTGGCAACAAATCCGCTACTTAGCTGTTTCAAATGTAAACAAGAGCAATGGCCGCCATCAAATTAGGCCCAGCGGCACTTAAACAACTTTAAAATTGTTGATAATTCTAAAAATATTGCATAGAGATTCACTAAAGGCATAAAACCCTTAACCGGAAGATAAAAACAACATAATTCAATCATTTTTAAAGCAAAAAATGTACAATTTACAAACATGTAAACTAAGATCACTGACCCGGGTAACAGAGTGGATATATTTATAAATATATTTATATACGTTTGGCGCGGCCGATTGCAACCAAAATACGAGGTGCACATCTACATGTTATAGTAGTCTTATATACAAAATGTCAACGTTCCGAGGCTACTCGTTTTTGAGTTATGCAAGATACGTACGCACGTACGTACATACGTTCGTACAGACGCCACGAAAAATTCTCTTCAGAATTCATTTTAAAGCAGTTTTTTAGTTATTTTGGAGGAAAAGAGTCTTTTATTCTGACCTTACGTACAGATATCACGCAAAAACTTCGTTAAATTGCATTCGAAAGCGGTCAAAGTGGATATTTTCGTTGAAATATGCTGCCTGAAGCTTTTCGCGATTACAATACTTCCTTTTTACTTCGTACAAGGAAGTAAAAAGAGAAAGAAAATGAAAAAATGGGGGAAAGAAGTGAAAAAGAAAGAAGTTGGGACAGTTCTATATTTTCCGCTCTAGTGGGTTGATTGATGAAATTTAACTTGCGTTTTTCATGTCTCGAAAGCGCGACTTGGGATATATATTCGATTTAAGGGTATCATTGTTCCAACATCGGTATTTTGATACAAAATCGGACTTTTTCTGAAATAATATGCCGATTTTTTAAAAAAGCAAACGGTGTGGCGTAAACCTGATATTGAACTTCAAATGAAGAAGCTTACTTTGTAAGGTATATTTTAATTTTATAACAGAGTTATTTTAATTTTTAAACCCTTTCCTGTCAATTCTTGTTTCCACTTACAACTCCCTACCAGAATGAGTTTCTAGCATTGCGTTGAATGCAAATGAGTTAGAAGCAAGTACCTAAGGAAGGTTCAACTTACTTCGATGGAGAGGGCTAGGCGTCCTTAGTAGCGTGTGCTTTGCCTTCTGCCTAAGTCACTCTTGAAACTGTTACGCTCGGCCATATAGTACGTCCTATTGATGTTCGCCGATTAGTTTAATTTAAGAGCCAACTAATTGTGTCTGGCTTTTGCTAAGTCCCGTTTAATTAATTATAGTTCAATTTGTCATTTCTTATTCTGAGTTAAACCCGAGTAGAGGCTTCCTGTAATCCCGAGAAGGGGCCAACTGTTATTCTTATTTGAGTGAATAAGAGGGTATACATTTTCACTAGGTTCCTCAACGTTCGTCTTAGACAAAAGGAATTAGGAAACCTACAACTCTTTCAAGAAAACATGGCCGATTATTTGAGAACAAAATTTGAAATGCAGAGCACAAAAATGAGCATATTGTCTCATTAAAACTTTATGAAGACCAAGCTGTTTGCAAACTGTCGGCTTTATATACCTGCCCCTATGTAATTCAAACGCTTGTGTTTAGTCCAGATTTCGATCCGACTCAGAATATTTGGGTTCATTTGCAAGAAAATGTTAATAAAACCAGAATTTCCAATAAAAATGCACACGAAGGAAAACTCACCACAAAATAGTAAAACACAGAAGCCAGTCACAATCAAAATCTTATGAAATCCATGCCTAGAAGGACTCAGTAAATTCATGAAAAGGAAAGGTGGCCCAGTGCAAGATTAGAGAAATTTGTATAGTTTTTTTTCTAAATATGTTTTGTGTGCCCCAATACTTCTTTGACCATTACTTTACGTTACATTACGTTACATTTTCGAACTGTTGCCACAAAATGTTAGATTCCTGCATTATATTTGAAGAAATTAAATAATGAAAAATCTGCATTATATGTAGGTATAATTTCTCGCATTGTAATAAAACAACGGTATCTAGAGCCATCCAATTTTGAATGACGTAATTCTACTGCGAATATGGGCATCTGAAATCCCAAATTTGAAATTTGTTTTATTTTATTATCAATTTCATATTTTGTAAAACTTTAACGAATTTTTGAGTAACAAAGCAACGATTTAAAAGCGAGCAATGGCAACACTCTACGAGATGGGGAACATTTTTATCTCCAGCGCGTCGAACTGTGTATCGGAAATTCTAAAGATAGGCTCATTTTAAAATTATTTTGCGACATTGCTTTTGAAATTGAACTAAATTGTATGGTTTAAGTGCTAAGAACATGACATTTAATTAAAATACACCAAAAAACGTTAAAAAAAACGCCCCTTTGGACGTAATTTAAAATCTGAAACATTTCAGATTTTTTTTTTTTTTTTTTCTTGTAAATTAATCTTAAGATGTTTCGCTTTTGTTCGGCTCTGAGATATGGTAATAATTTACTGTAATTTTAGTGTAGTAATTTTTAAAGTAATAATTTACTTTAATTTTAATGGTTGATTTTTGAGATAAATGCGTAATTAAAATGCAAACTATGTATGTAATGATATGCAAATACGTAATAAATAATTTTTTTTTTGTAATCAGAAGGTTTTTTTTTTTTTTTTTTTTTTTTTTTTCGTAAAATCCGGACCGAATGCTAAGGTTGTTGCTCATATTCTGAAATACTTACACATCTCGTAATTTTTTCATCGTGCTAAAAAGCAGCTTTACTTTCTAATATCATAAAAGTTTTTTTTTTTTTTTTTTTTTTTTTTACCCTTTCATCAGTATTTAGTTAGTTTATTTATTGCAGTTCCTGGTGATGGAGGGAGCCGACTGGAAGCTAAACTGGATAAGCCAAAAGTAGTAAATATTCTCTGCGACAGGAAGACAAGAGATTACTTTAATCTTTGGCTAAACCTTGAACTCGCTATACCAGACTTTATCGACTGTATGGTAGATAATATGAGGTAATCTAATCACAACACAAATTTACAATAATGTGTAAATTAATCTGAATGTATAATACAATTACATAATTCTATTGAAACGTAAAGTTGAAAATAGTCTAATAATAAATATGACCTCCTTTTCATTTAATAACGTTTTTACTATATTTGGGTATCAGCTTTTCACATGTCTGTTTCACTTTTTTTTTTTTTTTTTTTCTGAATTCGGTCCAAGAATCCCCCCCCAAATGATGAGCACTTGCCTATAAGGGCATTGGCCACTCCTAAGACCAGAAGTGGTGGCCATTTTATTGTGGAGGCACCTAATAGGCGGCCACCGTTGCCTCCTATGAAGGGAGAGACAATTTTACATCCAATGTCTTCTCCGGGAATCGAACCCGGCCCTTCGGTATCGGTCCAGTCGATATCAAATTTGTTTATATTGCATTTTTTTCGTTCATTATACGTCTGCGAGGTGGCAACTGTTATTAAAATTAACATTTCTAATATTTTTAACCATTTAGAACAGCTTTTGTTCCTGTCTTGTCCATGTATTTCATGGAAGAATGCCCCATGCCGCACCGACACTATACATTTACAAACATCCATGGCTTCTCCGGGATTCGAACTCAGACCCTTCGGTGCCACAGTAGGTCTCTCTAACCACTATACGTGTAGGAGGCAAAACAGCCTTTTTTTTTTTTTTTTTTTTTTTTAATACTACAAATAAAATAATAATAATACTTTTCCTGGAAGTTGTCTTTTCTCATGAGCTTCCAACAAGGATGTTACATTTATGGTTCTTTTTATAAAAAATAAAATTACTTTATAATTATGTTTAATTACAATTGCTACAATTACATTTATTTATAAACTTTTCTCTTTTCCCAGTATCTGATTTAGTGTGATATATCTTAAAAAAAGGACGTGTTCTGCCTTTAGTAGACAGATGGCGCTCTCATCGCGCACCGAGAAAGCTGTAAAAAAATAACTTGATTTTTAAAATTCTCTTGATACTTGGACTTATCTTTTGGACTTGACACTTAGAATTATGCTTGATTCTTGAAGTTTGAAATGTTTGTAATATTTTTCTGGGACGCTGCTGATTGTTGCGGAAATTATATAAGTATGCTGTGTTTCGTCAATAAAATGTTTTGTGCTGTTAAATGAATTATTTTGGTTTATAACTTACATTGGTATTATTATCATCATTCCAGTGTCCTTGAATTATAACTTCTTTGGCACAGGAGCCTCCGTCGCTAGTAATCTCTGAGTTCTAGCACAGCATGTGCACAAGTACTTTCCATATTATTGGATACAACTTATTCGATTCTTCACGCATTTAAAAGTCAAGTATAATATATTGGTAAAGGCCGTTAATGGCCGATTGCCTCTTACTAAGTGATAAGACATAGACATAATATTTATTTTATGTAATATTTATATAATTTTGGCATGAGAGCGGACAGGCGCGTCTAAGGAATGATCTAGCTAAGGCTCATCATTTCTGAGAGAGAAAAAATTAGTAATAAAATTTTTTTTAAAGTACGCGAGTAAATATTTTTTCTGCGTGCAATAAAAATGATTAAAGTGAACATATTCACTATTTTTAATCTTTCTAATTTTTATTTAGATTGGTTTATAACAATGAGACTAGAACAACATCGAACTCTCCTGGTGTGGATATACGAATACCGCATTTTGGTAACACATCCGCTGTTGAATGGCTGGATCCCAATGCCGCTACTGCAAGTTTGTATAAAATCATTTTCCTTTTTTTTTTTTTTTTTTTTTTTTCGTTTTGTTGTTTATTTGTCTATTATTTTATTGAAATAAATACCACTTTTTTGTTAACGAATTTTGCTTTAGTGAATTTACAATAATTACCTAACTCATTTCATTGAAATTTTGATACAACGAACGTTTTTTTAAAATTCGAATTCAGTTTGTTTCGAATAAATTTCGTTTTTATATTTGGATTTATAGGGTGTTTCTCCCGCCTTCTTGGCATGTCTTCGTGGTGTGGTGGTCAGCAAGCTCGACGCGTATTTGAGAGGTCCGTTGTTCGAGTCCCGCCGAGGGCACTGCTCATTTTTCATGACTCCTGTTTCCAAAAAAAAAAAAAAAAAAAAAAAAAAAAAAATACCTGATGTCTCTACAGTGGCGCCCGAAATAAAAGTGTGGTGGATGATGATTCTCCCTACTCAGGATTTGGCTATTGGGTCCCCTAAAAACCCCAGTCGCCCTTTAAAAGGGGGAGTATTTAAGGTGTTTCTCCCGCCTTCTGGGCATGCCTTCGTGGTGTGGTGATCTGCACGCTGGGCGTGTATTTCAGAGGTCCGCGGTTCGATTCCCGGCGAAGGCGTTGTTAATTTTTCACTCTCGCCTGCTTCCAAAAATACCTAATGTCCCTACAAATTATTAATAGTCGTAATGTCGGTAAACGTTATACATAATGTCATACACATATAATGTTATACGTAATAATAGTCGCTTAAACGGTATTGGTTAGCGTCGCCGACTGCTGTGCCGAAGAATCCGGGTTCGAATCCTGGAGATGACATGGATGCTTGTAAATGTATAGTGTCCGTGCGGCATGGAGGCATTCTGAATATGCGACAAGCCGAAAGTCCTGTCGTGAGGTTGATGGTAGGGTAAGAGGGATGGATTACCCTAGGACCCGTCCCCCCACCGGGGTTCTCTCAACAAAACTGGGGGCGGAATTGAGCGTGGGCTTGGGTTGACTATAGCTCAGACAAGTGAGACAATATATATATGTAAATAAAAACAAACTTAGAAATAAAGACCAGCAGAAATTTTGATGGCGTAGAAGTGGTGATCCCTAATGAATAGGAAATTGGAGACGAAGGCAGATTAAATCTTCATTTTTTATTTCTGCAAACATGTTGCGGCCACAATCGAGTTGGCACATTAATTGAGCCTATTTCCAAGAGATTTTACATTTTAGATTCAATTTGCAGATAAGAAAAAAGGAGAGCAGACAGACTGCAGTACGGCCAAGGCCAAAGCGTTGAAAGCAAGTGCGTTATGTTCAGGGAGAAATCTTAATTCAGACTGAGTTAGTTTTGGTTTTCAGTGCATTTTGATTGGTTAGTTAATATTTCTGTAAAATTACTATTGGCTGTTTGAGTTTTGAGTTCCATTTACATCACCAGAATTATGTAAGAGTCATATGACATGGATTAGTCTTGAAATGAAGCCGTGTTAATATAGGTTACTATTCTTGGATTACAGAAGGGAAATTTACGTTGCTAATTTAATCTTTTACATAATCTTTATTTTTCTTACATAACCTATGTTACGGTGAAACACCGAAATCTGGAGAATGTCGACTTTCACCGGTGAATGTCAACATTCACATAGTCGCTTGGTGTATGTCCGAAATATTTTCCAAATACTCTTATTTCTGACTGACACCCGTGAATGTCGACATTCACCATGTACTAATGGTGAATGTTGAACATATAACAGTATTATATTTTCTTCTCCGTTATTCAGTCGCGAATAAACGCACTTCAGACTTGAAATAAGAACTTAAAAACATAAGAACCTAAAACACACAATACATTCAAAATGAGAAAGGAAAATAATCGAAGTTGAAAACTTATTTAATTATACAGTACGTTCTAAATGAGAAAATAAAATAACAGTAATAAAAAACTTACTAAATCATGTGATTCAAATCTTATTTATTGCAACAATTTAAACTATTATGACACTTTATGACCTCTCTTTTCGACCTACACCAGAGCATATCTGTGATTGTCGACATACATCGGTGAGGGTCCGAATGTACAAGAATGTAATGCAGTATTCGATCTTTCACCGACGTATTTGGTGAATGTTGACATTCTCCGGTGAAAGTCGAGTTTCTCCAATTTCGGTCTTTCACGGTAACATATATATATAATAAATTCAGGAGCAAGAAGGAATTTGGATGGCGTAGATGTGTTGATCCATAATGACTAGGAAATTGGAGACGAAGGCAGATTTAAATCTTCATTTCTACTTCCTTGTACGAAGTAAAAAGGAAGTATTGTAATCGCGAAAAGTTTCAGGCAGCATATTTCAGCGGAAATATCCATTTTGACAGCTATCGAATGCAAAAATTCTATTACGTTTTAATTAATTAAAATGAGAAGGCAACACTTTTACATTCATGTTACATGGCATACTGTTCAGTACTTACAAGTGCTGCAGGTCATTGCTTGTTGAACATCTCGGTCAAAGTAAGATGTTTGACTGTCTTCATCCGTTTCGGGCAGCCAAGTCGCGCGTCCGCTTGACAATGAGAAGTTGCATGTGGTCGTCACCATCGAGGTAGATAAGGCCTGCGCGCTGAGTTACTACGTCACTGCTAGGGGACCGGTCTTCGCGCAGTTTAGCTTCCTTGCTAAACACCCGTTTTTCTAAACCTATTCTATGAAATTGGTATCTCATACTATAAAATCAGTCTAAAACAAAATTACAAGTGGCAATATAATGTTTTACAAAGCTTATCGAATATGAATGAAATATTTTCATTTTCTTTGTTGGTATTTATTTTCAAAACAAAATTATTTGAGAATGGTGTGTGCTTTTAAAGCAAATCATTTCTTTGAAGAAAAATTCTTTTTAAAATTCAAGTAGCTAAAATTTTACTTTGATTTTTCTGCACTGTTTTGTGTCTCTCGTGATTCTCATCACCGCATCATCAAATTTTTTTGTTTCATTCACCCACTACTTTAACAAAATGTTTGCCAGTGGGAACACATGTTATCTCTCATTCTATAATTATTGCATATTTTTTATATTTATCATATTAATGTAGCAGGATTATAAAACTCAAACGAATGCAAGAGACTACTTAATATTTAGAACTAACATTTAATGCCTTATATCAGTCAGAAAATTTTTTCTCATGTAATAAGTTACTAAATAGTCTAGTCTTAAAATTATTTCTTACATATGTATGTTAATCTGTATTACAGTTAATGTTTTCCTCTTAATGCTACATAATTATTCGACAGAATCTGTATTAAATTGAGATAATGTTTATTACATAGCTCTGAAGACTGTCAATATTAAAATTCCAAATAAGACAGGAAAAAAGTTTTTTAAATAAAGTTATACACAATTTTTTGAAAATATTTTTAAATATACGAAATACTTAAAAAACTTTTAGAAACTGAAATTTCTTGCAAATATTTACATCATACCTATTTAACTATAAGCGTTACCTCTGTTCTGAAAATATTTTTTATTATATCCACATGAAAAGAAAATATAATCCTAACATTATGTTCAGAACTTTTCTGTATAATGTAAGCAATTTTTTTTTAACTTAACTTACATAGCTTTTGGTGGTGCCACGTACTCAAATTAAGATTGTAATTTAAAAGATAATTAAAAAAATTGTTTTTAAAATTGCATTGAATTGAAATACAATGAAAACAAAGTATATCTACTATGAATTCAATTACTACTGCTTCTTCAATAACTGTACATTTTAAATTTCAATTTGCAGTTCGCATTTAATTACATTAATATGAATCTTACATACATTACTTTAGAAAGAAACTTTCTGTCATTCTCAGAAAGATTTATGTGCAATAACAAATTTTAAACAACTGATTGCATGATAATACATACATAAAAGTGAACAGAAGCTATATTAGCTAAACATATGCATTTAAGTTTCATCATGATAAAATGATATTTAATGATTTGCAAAAAACATTGATATTTAAATTTAAGAACACAGTACTCTGTCAAGAATCAATTTACTCTGCATTTGATATTCTACATATTATGTAATGAAATAAGTGTTATGCTTTTAACCCCTTAGGACAGTTATTTCATATAAAATTAGTTTCCAATTAAAATAAATATCATAAATTTTGCTGACAATTTTTATATTACTGTGTTAGTACTTATTACAAGGGATGATGCTTCAGATGTCAAAGTAAACATAAATTCAATTCTTAAAACATAATGAATAAAAAATTACAACTTATAAAAGCCAACAAAAAGTGTGCTGAGGGTCCCTTAATCGTGACGTCAGAAGCCAGTTTCGTTTCAGAGCGCAGGCCTTATCTATCTCGATGGTGACGATGTGGTCACACTCGGGTTGACGCTCCATCCACTTCAATCATGGAGGTAGGAAGTAAGAAGGAGTCGCCCTAAACCAGTTTCTCCGTACCCTGCTCTGAAGCACCGGCGATCCCTACGTGGTGACCAAAACATTGGGTCATTTACCATTGAGTTCTATGGGATTTGACGCGTTCGGGTGTAAATATTTTGTAATTACGTCGCAAATATACATATAAATGTATATATTTTCTTTTTCTACAATACTTCAGAGTCCTAAGTATGTGAAAACAACATATTTTTAAACAACATTTCATTCTGAATGGAATTAAATGCTATACTTTTCACAGGACAGTTTTCTCAGAATGGTTTAATTTGAATGAAATATTTTCACAAGTTTTCGTTAATTACATTAGAAAAAAAAATTAAGGTAATTCGATTTTATTCGGTTAAGGTACAAAAATTAAGATCAAAGTTTATTGTATTATTAATATTAAAATTATGCATTATTTCTTTTCTATTTATAGAGCTTCTTCCTAAAATACTTTTCTTAAATATGACATGATTTTTGGGCTTCTTTAAATCGAAAAATGTAAGTCAATTTATAATTAATGCTCTATTCGGTTCATTTTTAAATTAGAGAATTATTAGGAAAATAGTATTTGACTTTCTCTGAACATTTCTGAAAGGGAATAAAATAAGTTTTTTTTTTTTTTCAAGTATTATTTAAAACTTGTAACTGAGTTATTATAAAATGTAAAGGGAATAATTCTTTTAATTATACTTATCAGATTTTTTTTTTTTTACCCTTCATTTCAACAATACATATTCCAAAACTCTTTATTACGTTCTTAAGTGCGCATCTCATAGCATTTGCTTTACAATACCTTTTAACAGATTGCTTTCCAATACGAACAATTCTTGCTTAAATAGTTTTATAACGTACTTGTCAACAGGATTTCAGTTTATGTTTACAATTCAATATTAAGGTTATTATATATTTAGATAACATTTATAATCATTATAAATTAGATACATTTAATCATTAGATTTCTTCACAGTACTTTCACAGTTGTTTATAAGTGAATAAATTCATTTCAAATACATTTATAAATAATTTAATGAATATTTAAGTATTTTGTCAAAGGCAGATACATGCTTTTTGCAAGCACATGCATAAATACCCATACATATTTCCTATTTATCATTTCCGGCATGTGCAAATCTTTAATTTCTGTGCATTCACTATATTTTTCGTGTAAAGTAATTTACACTAATTTAGCATACACCCGAAAGTTTTACATAAAAAATATATATGAATATAATTTGAATGAAAATTATAAGTATTATTTTTAATACCCACTCAAAGGTCAGTTTTTCTTCAAAATTCCCCCACGATGGCATCTCTCTCTTTAGGCAGATAGCCCTTGCATGCGTTACTCTATTTAATAAAAACTTAATCTGACCTATGTGCCTAATTACAAATATTTTAACATACATAATTTTATATTTACATTTAGCCATCAAGTTTCAAACTTTTCAAATCTTCTAGAAAATAAATTTTGGCAGATCTCTTTTAGCAATTTTCTTAAAATCTATATTTTTGTAGTGCAACAGCTTAGAATTTATTAAAAAAATTCATAATCAAAATCGCTGTTGTTAGTTATCGAAAAATAACCAAGATGTGATTTTTGCGTAAATGTCAGTAAACTATACAAATTGCTATTATCCATCGCACTATGAATGTTTCTTTCATGCGAGAGTGTCCCTTTTTCGATTTCTATGGAACTGTCGTGTGTCGAAATACTATCAGAATTTTGTCAAGCGAGCTTCTGAATGTAAACAAAAAACACCCCGTCTGGTGACCCAAGCTTCAAAGCAGTGCTTCACTTCTAGCGCGGAATGGCCCCTCCTCCCTTTCCTACCTCCATGACTTCAATACAATTTCAAGGCCAGCAAACACTTCACCTGCTGGTGGTCCCGTATGCGTAATGGCAGACCGCACATTGAGTTGAAACGTTATTAAAAACTCTGAAAAGCCCTAATTTTGGCGCTCATTTTTCCGAGTGGCAGCAATCTCGTGAGCTGGAAATAAAGATGCTTTATTTCGAAAAGTATTGCCAACTGACTTGTCTTTTTTGTTTCAGGTTAGGATAATTGACTGCCACGTTAATTTTTCTATTCATATTTAGGGAAAGTTGTTATATTACGTTGAATTTAAATCATGACGTTATAAGTATTAACCTGAAGTGTCAAGGTTTTTGTTCCCTGGTTTGGGAAGAAAAAAATTATTTACGAACTGGTTGCTTGGAAAGAATGAACTGGTTTTATCCATATTGAAATGTTTTTATGCATTTTCTTTTCAAGTGTGCATAATTATAAATTTTAATTGCACATAATTATATTGTATAGTTTTACATAATTATAAATTTTGTTTTGGCTGCAGCGTTCTTATCTGGGGGTCCTGCCCGCTAGTAATTTATAAACGTTGCCAGAATATGAATTCTCTTCATGGTAAATGCAATTAAAGCCCAGCAAATTTAACGATAAATATTCTACAAATAATGTTACCTGTTTAAAGAGGAAATTGTAGTATTCTTCTCAGCTGGTAAAACTTTATAAAATCCTCTGATTTTACTTTAACATCTTACATGAAAGAATGCTTCTTCATTATCTGAAGGTTAATCTTCCACCTTACTTGCTTTTTTATATAAAAATACTTTATAAATACACATTGACGATAGAAATTAAAAAAAAAATTTCCCTTCTTAATTTAATCATTTTTAATTTCAGTGATTTCACGTTTAACTTATACCACTTATTTTGCTGACATCATCGACATGCTGGTCCGCGAAGGTTACAGAAGGGGTGTGGATGTCAGAGGGGCACCTTATGACCATAGAAAAGCTCCAAGTAGGTATTTGCAATTTTTTATTGCGTTGGATTCATTGACATCCTAGATATATTTACACGAAAAGTTCAAGAGCTCAGTTATTTTAGTAATAGATGTTTGTAAATTGTGCATTTTTTTTCTTTAAAAATGATTGAATTATGTTGTTCTTTCCTTCCGGTTAAGGGTATTACGCCTTTAGTTAATCTGCATGCAATAGTTGTAGATTTATGAACAAGTCAGAAGTTGTTTAAACGCGGCTAAGCCTAATTTTTTTAGTGGATTAAGTCAGTTAAAAATTATACCAGTCAGAAAGAGCTCGGTTTTCTTTAAAAATGATTGAATTATGTGGTTCTTATCTTCCAGTTAAGGTAGCTAATTTGCATGCAATAGTTGTAGAATTATCACCAATTTAAAAGTTGTTTAAGTGCGGTTAAGCCTAATTCTTTTACCATAGCAGCCATATTTGTTTACATTTGAAATTTAGCAGAATAGTGAATTAAGTCAGTTAAAAATTATATTAGTATTGCGGTAAAAACACAATATTACATACACTTTGTCCAGAAAAGTCTTTACCCGGCATTTACTATTGCAGCCATCAGCCGCAGACATTTACTTCAAGTTACAAAAATGTTTTAATGTCGCAAACATTCGTGATTTTGTAGCCTTAAATTTAAAACAATTAATTTTGCATGAAATACGAAATCTAACTTTCTACACGTTCCTCGGTGTCCTGCGCTTATATTTAAAAAACATTTATACTGGTTATGATAAATAAAACACAAAACGTTTTACTCCCGTACGAATTGGCCGAGTTATTGAATTTCGAAATTTGCAATATTTGACGACATTTTGAATTTTGATTGAAGAATCGGTTAATAAATAAATTAGAATTATTCGAAGTTTATCTTTTTCCCTTAAAATCCATTCAGTGATATTCTTTTGTGATTTACTAGTCCCTTTTTGATTTTTTTTTTACATTTTGTATATTAAAAAAACATTTATACTGGTTATGGTAAATAAAACACAAAACATTTTACTCCCATATGAACTGACCGAGATATTGAATTTCGAAATTTGAGATATTTGACGCCATTTTGAATTTTCATTGAGGAATCGGTTAATAAATAAATTAGAATTATTCGAAGTTTATCTTTTTCCCTTAAAATCCATTCAGTGATATTGTTTTGTGATTTACTAGTCTCTTTTTTTTTTTTTTTTTTTTTTTTTTTTTTTTTTTTTTTTTTACATTTTGTATGTAAAAGAAAAGTACACAAGTAATACATAACATTTTAAGTCTAAAAATACGTTTTGAATACTTTTATGAAGTTTTATTACTTTAGAATCATAATCCGGTAATCGTATGAAATACTTCCAAGTATTTTTCGTTTTTGATGAGCGTAAATAATATTACGAGTTGGCTGCATGCCAATACTGAGGCGAACCAGTGTTTTCTAGAACAAAAATTCTATCAGATATTGCGAATAGAATTTTCACTTTGGGGGGGGGATGTTTTTGAAAGTACTGACGAGTATCTTTCACAGCGATCTGCATAATACTCATCACGTGATTTGCTAACATCAGAATTTTTTTTCTAAACGATATTTTAATATTTCCTTGTATGATGTAGAGGAAGTATTGTAATCGGAAAAATTTTCGGGTATCATATTTCAACGCAAATATCCATTTTGTCAGCTCTCGAATCCACTTGAACGATGTTTTTGCTTGACATCTGTCCGTATGGATAGAATAAAAGACACTTTTTTCCAAAACGAACAGTAAAACGGTTTTAAAATAGATTCAGAAAATTTTTTTCCTGACATCTGTACGTATCTGTATTTATCTCGCATAACTCAAAAAAGAATAGCCGTAGAACTTTCGAATTTTGTATATGAGACTGCTGTAACATGTAGTTGTGCACCTTCCTTTTTTATCGAAATTGGCAGCCCCAAACTTATATAAACGTTTTGTAGCGTTCGTACGGGTTCGTAATAGATTGAATGCACAAGTCCGATTATAGGTTAGTAACATTTATTCTTATCAAAAGAAATATATCGGAACGCTTGAATTTTCCTCAGAGATATAATTCGTACACAGTATAATCAGTAGTTATACTTTAAACTACTAAAAACGTTAAAACACAACGTAATTCAAAGCGCATTTAAAGAGAAAGCTAATCCTATCTCACGCTAAACTCGCAACAACAGTAACTAAACAACTAACAGCAGATACTCTCTTTCTCACTCTTCGCGTTAAATAACTTTTAACCGGCTGCGAGATATATTTCTAGCAATTTCTGCTTCTCTGAATTACTGGAAATTATCGGAGAGTGGAATTACGGTTACAGATAACATAGTGGGCAATTACATTTATTCAATTTCAATACAAATTACCGAGATACCCATTTATACAATATTAAATGCACGCGCTCATATATTTTTACTTTTCCGGCATAGTCTGGCGCTGAATTGCACGGGGAAATACAAAAATTTTAATTATAATTATACTAAATATAAAATTCGTAACAGTACATTCGTAACACTCTGTTATCCGGTTCGCAGACATCAGTTTTTATTCTTCTGTGTTGGTAAACTGTGCATTTTTTGCTGTAAAAGTGATCGAAATTATGATGCTGTGAAATTATAATTTTATGTTTTCATTTTGCTTAACTTTTTAGACGAATATAAAAAGTACTTCGAGGACCTGAGAAACCTAACTGAAGAAACGTATTCGATGAATTTTCGCAGGAAAATCACCTTTATTTGCCATAGTATGGGCTGTCCTGTCATAAGCTATTTCTTAAACATGCAAACACAGTTATGGAAAGAAAAATATGTCAAAAGAATAATTGCCGTGGCAGGTGCTTTCGGGGGAGCGGTCAAAGCCATGAAAGGCTTTGCAGCAGGTTTGGCACTTTTTTAGTATTCTAATCTTTCTTTTTTATTCATGCTTGTAAGAGAAACGCTAATTTTAATTTTTAAGATCTCTTAAATTTTTTAGCCCAAAGGGCGTTAGCCCAGAAAAGCTATTAATTTCGTTTTGTCATTTTGCGTTGAAAAATTTAAATGTCGGTTCACATTTCAAACTGTTGCCGCCAAATATTACAGCCCGTTATTATATTTAAAGAAGTTAAATAATGAAGAATCTGCATAAATGTATGTATGTTTCTCGCATTGGGATAAAACAACCGTAACTAGAGCCATCCAGTAATCGTATTGTGAATGTGGGGGTAGAATACGAACTGCTCGAAATTCGGGGAAATAAAAGTTTAAATGAAATGCAGCAAAAATTGTGTATAATTTAATAGGCCTTTCAAGAAAGTGATGTGGTGACCTCATCAGATTTTTTATTTTTGTGTAAAGTTAAATTTAATTGTGATAATTTACCTCGCAGAACTGCTGTTACACTTGATACTGTATTGATATAGTTCTGTTATTTGGAACCCACAACAGGTTGCGATCAAAATGATAGAGTGGAGAAAACTTGATGCAGTTTTTTACTTCCTTGTACGAAGTAAAAAGGAAGTATTGTAATCGCGAAAAGTTTCAGGCAGCATATTTCAACGAAAATATCCTTTTTTGACAGCTTTCGAATGCAATTTAACGATGTATTTGCGTGATATCTGTACGTAAGGACAGAATAAAAGACTCGTTTCCTCCAAAAAAATTATAAAACTGCTTTAAAATGAATTCTGAAGAGAATTTTTCGTGGCGTCTGTACGAACGTATGTACGTACGTACGTATCTCGCATAACTCAAAAACGAGTAGCCTCAGAACGTTGAAATTTTGTATATAAGGACTACTATAACATGTAGATGTGCACCTCGTATTTTGGTTGCAATCGGCCGCTCTGTTACCCGGCTCAGTGATCTCAGTTTCTTTACTCTTATATGTTTGTAAATTGTACATTTTTTGCTTTAAAAATGATTGAAATTATGTTGTTCTTATCTTCCGGTTAAGGTTTTTATGCCTTTAGTAAATCTGTATGCAATATTTTTAGAATTATCAACAATTTTAAAGTTGTTTAAGTGCCGCTAAGCCTAATAATTTTTTTTGATGGCGGCCATTGCTTGTTTACATTTGAAACAGCAGAATAGTAGATTTTTTGCCAATTTAGAGAGACTAAGCTTCGCAACAACAAAGATAACGCCTTCATTTATTATTGCGAATTAAATCATGCTTAATCCTTTCTGGAATTTTTTCGAGGAAATAAGAGTTTGAGATTTACTTCGTAATTTTTAATATAGATATTTTGAGTTTTTATGTATTTTTTTTTTGCCTTGTCGCGAAGTGAGAACTGAATTTAATTGAATGAGAAATACTCAATCGTCTGTGAAAAACTACTTCTTTTTTGTTTTGTTTGCTTAATTTCTTTTATACATCGTTCTAGCTTTATTATAGTATTTGAATAGAACATGTGGCAACGATTAGATAATTCTATTCTTTAAATGATATAAATTTTGTGCATTCTGAGTTATAATATGAACGAAATATAATACTGTTAAGTGAATCTAGCGCCAGAGTGTCGCTATGGTAAACAAATAGTGTGAATTTTAAAGAATGCATTTATTCTATTGTGGTTTATGCGCTGTCGGCGAAGTAGATTTAATTCAATCCAATAAGTTTAAACGAAATGCAAGAAAAAATGCGTAAAATTTAATATTCCGTACAAGGAAGTCATGTGGTGTACACATCAGGTTTTTTAGTTTTGTGTAAATTTGAAATCACCTCACAGAATAGTTGTAGCATTTGATACTCTATTGATATAATTAAGTCATCTCGAACTCCCAGAAGGTGTTAGAATACATATGGCTTTATTTTAAGAATAATTTTATTTGTTTCATTTGAGCCAGAAATGAAATGGTCTTTAGCGAATTGACTTTATTATTGACTCGAAAATACTTTTCTGTTATAAATGACAAAGCGTAAACAAAAACAGTTGTTTAATTTTATCCAATGCATTATAATTTCCAAAACATTTTGCTATTGACAATGCCTGCAACTAAACATATTTTTATTCTTCCAATAATATACCTTTTCAGGTGACAATCTTGGAGTACCGATCATCAATGCTTTGAAAGTTCGAGATCACATACGCACTTGTCCAAGTTTGGCTTATATGCTCCCATCTTCGGAATTATGGAACGAAAATGAAGCCTTGATGGTTACTCAGAAGAAAGTCTACACGGTAGCTGATTTTCATGAATTTTTTCAGGACATAAATTATACAACCGGTTACGAAATGTACAAAGACACACATAGATATGCCTTGAAAAGTTTGCAGCCGCCGGGAGTTGAGGTCCATTGCCTGTACGGAATCAATGTAGATACTGTTGAAAGGTAATGTTATTTATCGTTTACTCAAAAAATATGCATTACGTACCATATGTAAACTAACAAAAAAAAACATAAAATACTGAGTTGAAATTTAGATTAAAAAAATTCTTCTATTTGGGCTGTAGACGCTTCAGCCCTTACTATGTGATATATAAGGTCATCGAAAAAGATGGACTTTCTTTAAGACATATTATTTGTAAGATGTATTTCAGGAAACTTAATAATTTTTAGTGTAAAATAAGCATGAACTTTTCAATGTTTTTACTACATAATTAGCAAATTTTGTTATCAGTTTCTCTGGTTAACTTATCATCTATCTACATCATCTATCCACATACATCTATCTACATCCACGTGTATATCATCTATCCACGTGTATATCATCTATCTAAGTGTGCTGGATCGTATTTGATGAGACTCTGGTATCTGGCGAGACTTTAAAAATATCAAAGACCACTAGTTAACATTAGATATCATATTAGAGTGGAAAATGTTGCAGAGAGTCATTAGGATTTTTGAAGCAAGGTGGACGTAAAATGAGCAATGCCCTCGCCGGGACTCGAACCTGGACCTCTCGAATACACGCCGAGTGTACTAGCCGTTACACCACGAAGGCATGCCCGGAAGAAGGGAGACTCTGGCCCATCTCCCATCTAGTTCAAAACCTCCAACAAATATCCAAATACAAATGGCAGCTAGAATGGGACCGAGTGAAAAGGGCAATGAACCAGAGGAAAGCATGGCCAAGTCCTAGAAGGTCTAAGACCTCCCTTTCAAGGTTTACTCCATGCCTCCGGGACCGTTCTGAGAGGGCGCCACCACTCCCGGTCGCTGAGGAGGGAGAAAACTTCTCTCATAAATTTGGATTCATGTAGACAGAGACCGAAGAGTGACCATCATGAAGAGATCCACAGGGCCGATCTCCACCCAGACTATTCAATAACTAGTTCCTTTCCTACGAAAGGAGTCACCACTCCCTCCCGCAGCACTCCAATTAGTGAAGAGGGCAGGAGAATCGGAGAATCTACCATCACATCTCCAAAGTAGATCCGAAACGTCTTCTTCAACAACCTCAACTGGTACGATATGTTTCGGACCATGGGCCAGTCCCAGGCTACTATAACAAATATGCTATCATGGATACGGACACTTGCACATGTGGGGCAACTGGCTTCGGAGCATTATCTAATTCAATGCCCACTTGCGAGTGATTACCATATAAAAATGCCCACTACAAACCTGCAAGCATGCCACAAATTTATGACACAACATAAGCATTTAATTCACAAAATATGCAAAATGATGGTTGTTCTGGCAAGACTAGGCACGAATCTTTGTCAAGTTGCATAACGTCTATCAATAACATCCAATAAGTAAGCATCCATCAACAGGTGCAACAACCAGTATATAGCAATAAGTAAAATGCAACAAGTTTAATAACAAATCCTCAGTAATGTGTACCTGTTTCCAATATTCATTAATGTTCAACAATATGTACCGAGGAACGAACTATTCTTATAAGCATTCAGCAATGTATACCTAAATGTACCAAGGTTGCTTTAAGGGTGGACGTGGCGCTATACCAATTAACCAATATGGCAGAGGGGTTGTGCCCACGTCCTCCGTCACTCACTCACTCACCTTACATAGGGGCGACTGGTGACTAGGCGACCCAGTCGCTAAATTCTGGTGAGTGAAGAATCATCATCGACCGCCTTTTAGTTCGGGCGCCACTGTAGAGTCATTAGTATTTTTGAAGCAGGAGAGATGAAAAATGAGCAATGCTGTCTCCGGGATTCGAACCTGGACCTCTCGAATACGTGCCTTGTGTGCTAAACGTTACACCACGAAGGCATGACGGAAGGAGGAAGAAAATACCTTCTAATGTAAGGGAGCTCGATGAAGAAAATCATTCTTTTAAAAGGAGTCGATGCAAGAAAAGGGTTGGGAACCCTTGCGTATACCTATCGTAATAAAATCTTTTTAGGAATATCGACATGTTACCACTACGTTTCATACAATCCTTGCATTTAATATAGTTTTACTTTCCATATTGGAAAGCCAGGGAACATTAGTCCAAAGGGGCAATTTGTCTTAAAGAACTAATAATTTCGTTTTGTCATTTTGTGTTGAAAATTATAAACGGCGAATCACTTTTCAAATTGCTGCCACCAACTATTATCGTCCTGTGTTATATTTAAAGAAATTAAGTAAAGAAGAATCTCCATAAGTAAGTAGGCTACTATAAATTAAGAATTCCGCCAAGTGAATTATTCTTGGCTCAAACTGAAAAAAAATGCGCCAGGATAAAATTTTTAATTTCTCCATAAATTTCTCACCAAAAATTACAAAATTTAAAATCTAGGCATAATTTGAGTCGTAGAATCGAAATATGGAAAAAAGTCCGATTTTGTGTCAAAATTCCTATGTCAGAATAATGCTATGTACACTCTTTTGCAAAAAAATCCAAGCACCATGAAGGAAGTGGTTTTTTTTGATACACAGATAATAAAATGAAGGTCATAGTATCTGTTTACTGCTCACAAAACACCCATTCAGTAATCAAATTAGTAGTTGATCGAACCGCCCCGTCAAGGAGAGGAGTCGTAGAGATTCCTAATGTCATCCTGCGACACATATTCTGCCAGGCATTTATCAGTTGTCGCTCCAGATCTGCGATAATTTGTGGTGCCCGAATCTGGCGGCCTACTATGTCCCAGACACGCTCGATTGGTGAAAGGTCTGGTGACCTTGCTGGCCAAGGAAGAGTATGGACCCCACGAAGACAGTCCAGAGATATGCGACCGGTATGTGGCCTGGCATTATCTTGATGGAAAATGGCCTCAGGATGACGTGTCAGGAAGGGTAATGCAACCGGCCGCAGGATAGTATCAACATATCGTTGAGCTGTTAAAGATGTACGGAGGATGACTAAAGATGACCTGCTATCATAAGATTTAACGCCCCACACCATCACACCAGGGGCTATGGCTGTATGCCTTTGTAAAACAAAGGCTGATTGGGACTGCTGGCCCCGTCCTCTCGAGACATGAACACAAGGGTCATCTGCTTCAAGAGTGAAGCGGGATTCATCGCTGAACACTATACGATGTCAGTCTGATGACAGCCATGATGATCGGCTGCGACACCACTCCAGACGACACCGCCGATGTTGTGGGTTCAAAGTCAAACCTCTTAAAGGCCTCTGTGAGCCTTAAAGGCCCCTCCTCAGAAAAGCGCCGAGAGATGGTGGACAGTACCACGGGAAGTTTAGACGTGGCTGTAGTGCGTTCAATAGTCGGCAATGATACCGTTGGGGCGGTCCGGGCCTGGCGAACAATCATCCTATCTGCCTCGCATTTGCGCTCCTCGGCCTTCCACAGCCTTCATTTCCTCGGCACTTTCCTTCTAGCAACCATTGCTGCCAACATCTTTGCACAACAGTGTCTGTATGCTGCAGGTGGTGGCTTATTGTTCGGTATGACCACCCAGCTGCACTCAACCCTACAATGCGAAGTCTACCTTCGCATTGTCTATCTTCTACTCAACCCTACGTTCGAAGTCTTTTAAATGTCTGTAAGGTCTTCGATATCGTCATAATGGCATCTTTAGTTGCTTCTTTACTGAATTACAATGGCAGCAACTAAAAAAGATAAATTTCCCCCTCTGTTACTGATTTTTATACTTTGCGAATTGGGCGCTATGATCGCAATTCCTGTCCATTTGCCTTGTAACTCTGATCACTTGCATGTTCGATCAAGAATTTTTGCATGCCAAATTTCATCACGATCGCAAAAGTTCTTGGTGCTTCTTTTTTTTTTTTTTTTTTCCTTCTTCCAAAAGAGTGTATATAGATGGAGACCTGAAAACTCAATTTGAATTCCGTCAATCGGCCCAGTAGAACGGGAGATACAAAGCTGCCTACCCCCCCTTTTTTTTTGCGCTGTGTACATTTGAAACAAAATTCATTCTTTTAAATTCAATCTCATTTTGTGCTGTTTCATTTTTCTAGGGTCGATTACAAGAACATGAAATTTTTCCCTGACCATCCAGAGCTAATTTATGGGAATGGGGACGGTACAGTGAATGAAAAAAGTATGGCAGCCTGCATGCTTTGGCAAGGGAAACAAAAGCAAAAAGTACAGCGTGTTCTTCTACACAAAGCGGAACATTTGGAGATACTGGCTGATGAACGGACTTTGAAGTATATAAGGAAAGTTATTTATCAATAATGTGGTTTAAAAGCATATTCACAATGTTGTAAATCATAATGTTATTAAACGATTACAGATATTTACCAAATACAAATAAGCCCACATTGATATTTGCAGATGACAATCGTTTACGTATTTCTAGTGACAATTTTCAGGGATGCAATTCAAAATTACTGATTAATGTAGCTTGTATATAGCCAATTAAAAATGTAAACGAAGCCGGTAAATTGAAAAGGAAAGTTGTTTCATTCCTGAAAGGTAAAAAGCGATATTTTAACATTGGTTTTGCATAAGAACATTTGATTAATTAGTCTTCTCTTGTACAATACTATTTCGAAAAAGAGATTTAAAAAAAAAGAAGAGGTAGTATATTATTTTATAATATTTTATTCCAGTATTATATTTATGTTCTGTTTCAATTAGTTTTATAATTTAAAACGCTTGTGCAATTGATCATTTACTTCACATAGTTTTGCTCTTTGATCATGAAATTTTAATGTTCTTCGATACTTCGTCTAGATATAACATCTAGGAACCAAGCGGATTATCTTTGAATTCCAATAGTTACTACAGAGACGTGAGAAGGGTTAAAATAACCTTTTATTCACCCAAAGAAATAATAACAGATGGCCCCTTCTCGGGCTTACAACGAAGTCTCCACTTGGGCTTTTAAATCAGGCTAAGAAAATAAGAATCTAATCTAATACTAAACTAAACTGAATTAGCCGAAGCTAGACATAAAGTTGGCCTTAATTTAACCTGGCTGGCGATTATTTGCAGGCACGTAAAATACGGTCGAGCATAGTAGATTCAAGAACGAAGTAGCCAGAAGTCAAACATGCGCTACTCTTAAGCGCTCTCTCTCTCGAAGTAAGTTGAACTTCCTTTAAATACTACTTCTAACTCATTTGCATGCAACGCGATTCTAAAAACTCATTCTGGTAGGGAATTGTAAGTGGGAAACAAGAATTGAAAGGAAAGAGTTTCAAAATTTAAAATAATTATACTGTTATAAAATTAAAATGCACCTTACAAATTATATAAAATATTTCTTGCAATAATACTTAGATGCAATTACTTACTTGGCTTCTGTTTTTAAATTCTTCAATAATTTTTCTTTAATTCAATTTGAACATTAAATTTTTTGTGAAATCATAATTTTTTTTGGTTGAAGACACTCTTTTGAATTAAACTTACAGGAAAATTTAAGATAATAATAATAATAATAATAATAATAATTGTTATTATTTTTATAAAACGCTAAGGATGTTTAAAATGGACATTTAAAATTTTATTTTCGAATTTTATGTCTTTTCGAGATAATTTAAAATTTTTATAAAAGAAATTACTTAATAAAGTAATATTTGATTTGCCTAATTTTGATATATAATGTAAATTTATATTTAATTATGAGTTATTTTTTAATTTTTTATTAATTTTTACAAACATTGTCTCAAGCGTAAAAGGAAAATATTGCCTGCAAAGGTTATTTATTATCTTAATATGCTGTTCTTCATGTAATATTGGTATTATGTACATGATATAAATTTATATAAGTCTCAAAAGCATGTCAAATTTTCATTACTATATATTAAGGTAACATGAATTTTGTCAGTGATTTTAGAAACTAAAGTCAGTTTCACGTCATAGAGATATTTAGCTATATCTTGTGAAAAAGTAAGGATGTATGTAAATTTAATTTAAAACTTCAGAAATTTCCTCTTCATACTATGTGCGAAAAATTGTTGTTTTAATCAGATGAAATTTCAAAATTTGTAAATATTGCTTTTATAAAGTATGCAATATCGCGATATGGTAGTCTGTTACTTTAAAATAGGATTTTGAAGTTTATTTTCCGCCACCCGATCTGATCTGCTACTATGAGAACAATAGCTGCGGAAAAAAGGTTGACTAGTTTAATCCCCCCCCCACACACACATACACATGCACTCACTTTTCGTTTATAGTGTTTCGATTCAGCGAAAGCAGGGAAATGAACGCTGACTGGAACTACAACCTCAAATGGCGTGGGAAAATAAATGCTGTGGGGTGAGGATGACACGAATTTCGATCGCAGTTGGGGCGTTGGCAACGGTACTGAAGTGCCTATTTTAAAGTAACGGACTAGTATATTAGTGAAAGTTTTCCTTTTCATTAATTTAGAAAAATAAGATTATGAACTGCATTTTTAAAAACTGAACTTGCACTTGAACTAGCTTTTATATGAATTGCTTTTTATGTGAATGTACCTGGAATATTATTTATGGTCTTTTATACACTAGGTTTTTAGCTACTAATATTATTTATTTATTTATTTTTATATACTTAGATATTTTGTTTGAAATATTGTATGATGGGTTTAGCATTAATTTGTGAATGCTACAAATAAAATGGTATTTTTACCTAATTCTTAATAAATATTGTTTCGGATTATGAGTTCATAGTTGTCTTTTTAAACAATCACTCCGATGAGCAGGAAAAACTGACAGTTTATCATAAAAAATAATGTACATAGCACGACAAATAGCTGTAAATAGGCCCACCAGCGGCCGAGCGGTAAAGGCGCTGAACACTGGTAGTTCGGTCTGAGGTTCGAATCCCGCGAACGGGCTGGCTGCATGGGCGTTTTCGTGGTTTTCCCCATGTGTAACGTGTATACGAGCCAGTTTCCCTTAGAAAGTCCTCCACGAAAGGCATCCCTCCCTTTAGGCAGATAGCCCTCATGTGCTTTGCCATAATTAAATACACCAACACACACCAACTAGCTGTAAATAGACAAGGCGATATGGAGATTTCCGGTTATGTTTTTACCACCAATCCTCGAATTCCATATCACAGATTATGTTCTTACTGCATTGATATAAATATTAACGAGACATAGTGCACAATAAAAATTAAGCTTTATTTCGGAACTTCGCGCACACTGCCCGACAGCCTGCCTGTTTCGCTCTGCTCGCTACTCGTAAGAAACTTCTCCTCTAGGGTTGCCCACACTTATCGGAGGGCGCAAGGCGCGCTCCTTATCGCCATCACCACAGCGAACGCGGATATAAAGGAATTTTAATTTAGCGCACGAAATATTTTGTAAGTTTCCAAAATCACGCAAAGTAAACCGTAAAATTAAACTCTAAAACACACATCATCAAACTTTCTTTTAATCGTTAATCCCCACAGTTGATTAAGAACTAACTCCTTCTAGTCCCAGGTGCCGCTGATCGCCGCGAGAAATTTGGATTTTGCACCCTGTGTTCCGGCTGTCTAAAAGTATTGTGCCTCAAAGAACGATTAAAATCAGAAAAGTCTTGTTGTAGCACTCCAAAGAGAGCCTGGTAAAGTTGAAAAAAATCAAGGAGAACCTTCTTGAGAAAAATGGAGTCCAAAAAACTTCACAGGCCTGTAGGGAAAAGCATTAATCATGAAGAAGAGATGGGCTCCGCATTGAAGGTGGCGCCATCTATTGTGCCCATGAGTAGTTACTGCTGTCATTATTCAGTAGTGAGCTGAAGAAATAAAGTTCCATAACGCTGAAACGTTCTACTAAATACAGTATTAAGTGCTGTTTCTCCTTAGAAGATTTCAGCAACTTGAACTGGTTAACAGATTCCAGAAATCTGCTGAATAAACCCGTTCTAGTTCTCGAACCGTATTTATATAGTGTAGCAAAAGCACGGGTGTTGTGTATAGCTTCTGGAAGCGTCGAGAAAAATCGCTCATAGAACTTCGAATATGTGCTTTCTCAAATCTTCCAGAAAATCGCCTAGTTAGCAATGAAATCGCCTAATGTCGCCAAGACCGTCAGGATTGTATTTGTCCGTACAGTAAGACCCCGCTTAACGCTGTTTCGGTTTAGCGCTCTTTTATTTCAACCTCGGGATTCCCCGAAATTGCTCGCAGCATGAACTACGGGGATTCCTCGAAATTGTGCGCAGCGGTAGGTTTCCAAATAACATATCCGAAACTTTGTAGTTATGTTTCTTGTTTGGTGCGGTGATTGCTGTACGGAAGCATTTTTACCATTTGAAACATCTGTTAACATTACTGTAAGTATAAATTTACATAATACTATAATGATTAATACAGTGACAAATATTATGATCTTTAGTTTTTATCATGGGGGACAATAAAAAACAAGAAAAGAAAGCAACCAGAAAAAGCATTTCACTGGAAACTTAAATGCAAGTGATTAGAAGATTAGATTCGGTGAGAGTCAATCTCAAATTAGTGCTGCATTGAATTTGGCAACTTCAACAATAGGGACAATTCTTAAGAATAAAAAAAATAGACTGTCAACGCAACTACGTCAAGTTCTGCAACTAGAATTACCCATTCTAGAAATAACGTTATAAGGAGGAAATGGAAAAACGACGGTCTATATGGATTGACGACGAAATTGAATGCAATATGCCGTTAAGCCAATCTGTCATAATGCCTTCTTGAAAAAAAAAGGCAGAAAATTGGAAGCACAGAATAGACTGAATGATCTGACTGGCTTAGAATTTTATGTTGTTTTTATAAATATATTCGTTTATATTGTTCTTATTTTTGTAAGAAATAAATGTTTGGTTTCATTTTTATTAAAAAAACATTATTAAATTTAATACCTAACCAATTTTCTATCCATCTTCCCCTAACTCCATTAGTTACATGTTAAGATAGCCTCGTTTAGCGCTGTTTCGCATTACGCTCTACTTTGATGGAACGGATCCCCCGCGTTAAGCGGGGTCTTACTGTATCTCGCATTCTGCTTGAGTTTTTTTTTTTTACAGTTTTAGATGTTTTTGTACTCAGAATTGAAAGATTTATGTAATTCTATCTAAGAAATAAACATTGTATACAACATGTGAAGCCAAAAATTCAATTACCCTAAAATTAATAAACCCTAAAATGATCACTGTAAAAGCAACAAATAAAAATGAAACAATACACAAAAACCACAAGACAATCAAATGAATTTATTTACAGCAATAAACCGTGAGGACGAAAACTCAGTGAAATACTTTCCGCAAGAAAAGAAGCGGAAGAATAACCTTGTTTGTTTGCATTAGCTATATATAAGTCACGTGATCTCTGAGGTCATCTACATTGTTTGTTTACGTTAGCTATACATAAGTCACATGATCTCTGAAGTCATCGGACTGGATCTCATTACGTGTCATTCATTTTCTTCTATTATAGCAGGAATACTAAAATAAGATACTGTTAGAAATCAAACTGAAAAATTATTTTTTACACATATAAATACTGCAAATCACACGGATATTGATAGAAAATTATTACTTCCTTCAAATTTTACAAATGTTTTAATGAATGAGTTTTGTTTTTCCGATAGATTAAATTATTGATCGACACTTTGCGGTTTCCAAACATGCATTTGTCATTAAGATTCGGATACGCATTTATTAACAAGACGGCAATCCAAATGTACTCTGATATATATATATATATATTTATCAGAAAGATATGAACCCGGATCTCTCCAGACAAACACACATATCCCGAACGTAAAAATATTGTTACGAATTTTGTACATATGTAAATGATTTTAACGAAATTATATGTGAAGTTGTAGTATTTTCTGTGTTATATAACACGAAATGCTTGAAAGAGAAGCTGCTTTGTCGGAAAAATAAGAACACAAATACAATGAAAGAATAACATTGAATAAATAGTTATCTCCCTGAACTGACAAGATATCACCCAGCTGGAGATGGTTTTGGCGAGTAACTTTTGACCCCATATTTGGAAAGAAATCGCCAAATTTGGCGACCATTTGACGATATTTTGGTCCCATCCCTGTATAAATGTGATGGTTATTGTAATCGAATAACCTTAATTGACCCTATACGTAACTGTAACCATATCCGGCCCTAATATACCTTCCAGGAAATTTCGAGGTACTAGAGATTTCTCGGCGGCCGGGGGAAAACTATATAGAACCAGGGTGAGCATCAGTTTCTCATTAGTTGTTTAGCTCAGCAGGAGTTCGTAGAATTGAGTTATCTCCGCAGGAGCTTCGCCTTTGTAAATGCCCTTTGCATTACGTTGTGTTTAACGATTTTAGTTGTTTGAAGTGCGACTACTGATCGTGCTCTGCAATACTTAAAAAAGCTATACGAGTAATTTTGTGGAAAATTACAGAACTGTAAAGTGTTTCTTTGGGTAAAATAAATTTTATCAAGCTATCATCATTTCTCTGTGTATTCAATCTGTTACGAATCCGTACGTAAGTAACAATATTGATCTAAACTTCTCTCCCATTTTCAGAATCT